CTTGTTTGATTTCTTTATCTTGAACTCAAAGTTATATTTTAATGCCAACCGGTGCACAGCTTCCTTCAAATCTTTCTTGGTTTCAAACAGTCGCTCGACCTGCAAGTCCTCATCATCGGGAGCCACACGGGAAGAATTGGAGGACGGTCCACTTGTTCCAACCTGTGAGCTCCCACTCGGCTCGTGTCTCTGTCGGGATAAAGCAATCAAATTATCATTTGTAAACTCGTTTATATTCTCATTGTCTTCAACTGTCGACGAAATTCTGCGCGTAACAACGACATCACGATCAGAAGCAACTGTCTCAGGAATAACCACATCATCCGCAGGAACTATCTCCACTGTCTCCCAAAAACCTCGATCATTGTTATCCGCCCTATCTGAATCTTCGCATTCACCATTGATAACATCCTTCGTAATTAAAGTTACACCAAGAACAGTCGGAGTCCGATGTATTTTATTCAATTCTAATAGATAATTCAATTCAGCATCATTAGTAACGAATACTGATGGCATCGGAATGGATGAATCCCCATAACCGTTGTATAGATATCTCAATTGCATATCGTATTGAGATTGATCGACATTCAGTTTATTTTGCAAATCGTGGTACATTTCTAAGTATGGTGTACTCTCTGTTATGGAATTGTAATACAACCACGTATGTCACTCGTCCATCTCCATTCCCACCAATTATTTTCATTCAATTCGAAATCACCGAAATAAGAGACGGGGATTATCATATCTACATAAGGAAATGGATTTAATCAACTTCATTTATTAATTATAAGAAAAAATCAGTGCAGAGTCGGTTAATTGGCTGTTTAACAGCCGAACAGTCGGAAACAGTCGGACTGTTTGGCTGTTAACAGCCAAAACAGCCGACTGTTCGACTGTTTTGCGCAGGAGAATACGGTTCTAAAGAAAAATATTATACGTCTGTTCAATTTTTTTTTATAGGTAAGATCTGTTAAAAAAAATTTATGCTAACTACTATATTGACATAAAATTTCTCTATTCAAACGTATACTAATTTACTGAAAACGAAATTAAATATGCGTAAATGTACTTACCGATTTGAAGTAATTGATATGAAAATAATTTCCGGCTTCAACGTTTCAAAGTTTTTCTAGATTTTGAGGTTCAAGCAGATGAAAAGACGAGAGTTTTTTCTGTGTTGGAAGCTCGTTTTGAAGTTTTTATAAGTGGGGAAGTGTTTGATTTTCAATTATTAACTAAAATGGTAGTATAGTCATTTCAACAATATATTGTTTTGTAATTGTACAAAACATTTAAGGACATCTTTGTCTTTTACCATACAAGAGGCCAATGTCATAATATTCATGATTTTGAAAGTCAAAGTAAAATTTAGGTCCTTTGACCGGGTCTAACTTAAAAGTATCCCCAAAACACTTGTGATTACTACCAACACTCACCACCACAAGCCGCATCGCAGTCAAGACTCCCGCCGCCAAAATTAACACCACCTCACCACCAACAAGACAGATACAAAGCCAACACCCCCACAAAAGCCATCACTGCAACGTCGTCACCACTACAACCACCATTTCCAACCAACACCCATTTATGACCAGCCCTGTCATCTCAAACACCGCAAATAGCGCTGCCCCACCATCTCTACCCTCGTCGTCGCCACCAGATCCACCTCCCTCGCCGCCACCAAATCCACATGCTGCACTTCCAAGGCAGCTTCCAACTCTCATTTCACCACCATTGCTAGTGTCAACCACAATAGTCGCCACTAGATCCGCCACATTCAAAACTAAACCAAATCCGCCATAATACACTCAAGTAGCGACTGCAGCAGCTGCCATCGAATTGTCACCACCACTACAGCGTGAGATCTAAAACCACTACAGCGCCGTCATCTACAGCGTCGAGTGCGAGTAGCTTGACGGCGCTAAAGTTGCTCGCACTCGACGAAGCTGTCGCACTAATCAAAAACGTTGGAGAGAAATGGGGTCTGCCGGCGTCGATCATATTAGGATCGATCGGCGCCACTGCATTGCACAAAAATGCTAGAGAGAAATTGGCTGTTGTCACTATGTGTTTAGAGAGATAAGAGAGAGACGGGAAGAGAGTGACGGGAAATGGGGTTAAAATTAGGGTTTGAAATTGGTTGATTTATTTTATTAATACTTGAATTGTGAATAATAAAACTTGGCCCCTGATTTTTGAATTCTGATTTTTAAATACCTGAAATTTTGTAATTTACTCTAAAATTCGCATCTTTCCTTCATCAAATTAGAATCCAGGCCCACTTTTATAGTATTAAAATCAAGATTTTAATATAAATAAAATTCAAATTAACTATGGATTTCATGGGATCCCAATTTTTTAACGACATATTTCATCAATTTTTATCAAACTTTTCTAAAAATCTAATTTTAATCTCTATCAAACAAGATCTCCACTTGGGACACGTCTGACATACAATCCAGGATAAAAGATGGGATTCGGAAGGATTAAATTATATTTGGACTTGGTAAGATTGTTTGTGTTTGGTGTTACACTATATTAGAAAAATGTACAAGTATTGAAAAATAAAAGAATTCATTACTATATATTTTAATTATATATACATTTTCTTACATAAAATGTACATTTACTCATTAGTGATTTTATTACTTATAAGTGAATTTTTAGTTATAAGTATTTTTTATACTTATAAGTAAAATTTTCACTTACTAGGGCTTTTTTCCTTATAAGTTATGTATTTTGTTATAACTTTCCTTTACGTATAAGTTGTTTTTTTTTTTTAACTCATGAGTAAATCTTTACATAAAGATATTTTTAACTTAATAAGTAATTTTAACTTATAAGTGATTTTTCTAATATAAGTAATTTTAATAACTAATAAGTGAATTTTCACTCATAAGTAATTATGTTACTTTTTCATAAATTTCTAACTTTATACAATTATTTTGCTAATAATTAATTTTATACTTATACGCAAATTTACTTTTCTGCTTAGAGTATCTTTGAGAGATTTTTTTATTTATAAAGAGTATGTTATGCATTGTAGAGTGTACTTTTAAATTTAGTGGCTTAAAATTTTTATACACACCAGTAATTCTCTCTTGATCCGGTTTTTTATTTTTCTTTTCTCAAGAAATATTTATTGATTTCTTCTCATATTTTATTTAACATACTTTTTTCTATGTCCATCCAATCAATATAAATGTGTTTTAAATAATGTAAGATGAAATTTGTGACTTATTAAATTGAGTTTGGCTATCTAAAATTGCAGAGTCAAAATCACCCTCTATTTTAAAAAGTTAAAATAGAGATTTTATTGAAGCATATTTTTAAATATCAAAACAATTTCCAGAGATTCTCTATTTTCACAAAACATATTTTGCGATTTATAAAGCATTTATAAATTTAGAGAGTCAAAATTTTGAAGTGCTCCAAGAAACTCTTTATTTTCAATACTTAATTTTACTACTTCCAAAAAATTATTATTATTTTTTCTTATATTTTATTTTCACTAAGTCCCCTCCAAATTAATATATTATTTTCCTACGTTGAAATTTGATTTTGAATGCATTTAATTATAGAAAAGTGAGAACTCACTCTCTATATTTAAAATATTAGTTTGAAGAGCCTCTTGTAGCATAATTTTAAAGATTGACCATTTAAAATATAAAAAAAATTTATGTTTAAAGTGCCATTTAGATATTCTCTTAACCCTTTAAAATAAAGAGCATTTTGTATTTAGAGATTTTTTTTTGGAGATGTTCTTGCATATTTGAATAACTTATTTATATTTAATTTTTGACAAAAAAAAAACTAGTAATTTTAAACATACTTATAACTAAACTATTTTTCATTTCGTTTGCCTACTTTTACTACTCCAAGAGTAATATCAACTTTAAGTTTTTATAATATAGTTTGGGATTAGATAAAGATTAATGCTATTTATCATTAGTCTAGGCAGCTGCAATTAATAGGTAAAATAATGTTATCTAACATCAGTTTAGATTATCACTATTAATAAGTTCATTTAAATGAATAATGTGATAGTGCACTTAAGTAGACCTATTATTTAATGTTATATATTTGTCACTTAGATCGATGCCTGGCACTAATGATAATGAATAATATCACCATTAGATTAATGTGCAAGCGAAATATTGGAATAAAGAAAGTTAACAAAGTAGTACTAGTCTCCCAAGTCCCAAGGCAATAATTTTGACAAAAGCAAACATAAATGGAAATTGCTGGTGTAGCGGGAGGCTGACCGCCCCTTGACAAAACCCTACCAATTGGGGTGGGTCCCGCGCCAAAAAAAGGCCCCACCCCCCTATTGGTGAGGTTCTATCGAGGGACGATCAGCCTCCCATCACTCCAGCATGGTTCAACATAAATTTAATTAATGTTGAAATTAGATAAAAAATTATAGTTTTAATAAATTTTGATAGAGTTGATTAAATAAATGGTTAAAGAGTTGATAAAAATTTTCAATCTTCTAAAATGAGTTTGAAATGTTTTTTAACAAAAAATTAAAGCCAAAGAAGAGCTTAATAAGACAAACTTATTTATTTAATTTAAAGTCATACATAGGGGAGCCGGGGGGATCCTAATTGTACCTCAATGTTTGTGTCTAGGGTTAGCAACGGGACAACACCGCCAAGCATTTTTCCTCCCCGTTATCCATTTAAGGTAGGGCGGGGCCAAGCTCTTGTCTTGTTTACGTACCCATTTTTATTATAGTTTTTGATAATTTATTTTATTGCCTCATATAAGCAAGACAATAATATAGTTATTAATTTTTTAATTAATTTATTTTTAAAAGTAAAATTATTCGAATATATTTAATAAACTAAGATTTTTACTGTTTATCACGTTCCTTAGATAATTTTAGTTGTCATCTTTTATTAGAATTAATAAAATTTCATGAAATTTTTGTTCAAATGCGAAAGCGAAATTATCTAGAAATTAAGAATTTCTTTAATTCAATAAACAAGATCGTCTAAATGTTTACGTGTATGTTATACCAAAAATAAAGAATTCGTATTTTTACCTAAATTCGATGATTAATTCTTAAATAAATTCTGGATCACGAACTTTCAACTTTTTGGATCACGAACTTCAAACTTTTTAATTCCAAGATCTTGATACTTCAAACCTCAAAGTCTTCTATGGTATTATCCCAAGTTAAGATTACATCGGTGGGTAGGCACCATTTTTTAATTAAATCAAGAAACCAATTCTAGAACTGGACAATTAAAAAATTAAGAAAAATAATTTTTTCTCTATCCAAAATTTGAACACCGTGAAATTATGTATTATGAATGTTGTATAATTCCATTCCATAGAATATCTAGGATCCAACGAATCTCTATTTATAGAGGTAGAAGAGTTTCAATCTTTATACAATAATAATTCTACATTCAAATAGGAGTTCTAATTAAAATTTATGTCCAAATTCAATTAGTTTACATTTAATTACATGTGTAGTCCTAAAACTTTAATTACAATTTTAATTAAGTTTACAACTTTCATAGTAATTACAATTAAGTACAAAACTTTATTGTAATTACAATTAAACCAAAAACTATTATAGTTACCGCAATTAAATTTCAATACTTTATGGAGCTACTATAGGGATCTGATCGGACTTATATTATCCAAACTCCAATAATTAGATCCTGACTCTTTGACCCTAGACCACCCAATCTAATTATTAGTCTTTAATTTTTCATTAAAGATAAAAGACTGAACTCTCGAAATATATAAGATCAAAGAAGTCAATAAATCTGTAATACTTTCTTCTGACCTAATGTGTATGTATTTTATCCTCGTCTGAGATCCGATAATTACGTATAAGCATAAATGATCGTTTTGTTCCTTTAATTATTCTCACTGACTTAAGTTTCATTTTCTTCAACGATCCTGTAAACTAATCACAGATGTCAAAGTTTAGCTATCGCTAAACACCGAGCTCATATTTTAACCGTTCAACGAAAAATATTTAAATAGTCACTCTACCCATTTTTCAGGATGACGGTTCCCGACATGAATTCATGTTCTCTACTCCACCCATGCTCAAGTTCCCAATTTATTGAGATATTTGATCAATCAAATTGATCAATTGATAAATCAAAGAACCATTAAAATCAAGAAAAAAATATACGTAATCATGTTTAGGGATTTAGATAAAATACACAGCGATCTAGTGGAATTTAATTCTCCACAGGGTCATGCTATAGAATTAAATTCCACACGCGATCCGTTCAATACACTCCAAGTATACTAGTGTCACATTTAACTATGTCTATAATAAGGACAAATTACAAACGTGATAGTGAATCGGTCAACACTACAACCTTCAATACAAAGTGTCAACCTTTATACATTGGTTGTGAATAAATTATTTATGATCAAAATATAAGTTGTGTCACACTGTATTTCTCAATGTAAGTACCAAATTTATATTATCTCAAGTGATCATATGCACTTTAATTTCCATGCTCAATAATAAATAATGCAATAAAACCACAAATTATTTATTATAAACGATTATTTTATGACACTGAAATATATTATATGGGCACACAACCCAACAGTTTTTTCATTTAAAGTATTGAATTCTTTTTTTTTTTTAAAGGCAGGGCGGGCACGGCCCCTATTACTCATAGGGTTGTAAGCAAAAACTGCAAAATCAAAAAATCGAATCGAAATCGCATCTTAGAAATAATCGGTTTGGTGCCACGTGGATCCAATCAACAAAATGGTTTTGAGCCAAACCAAATCGTTCAAAATGGTTTGGTTTAGGTTTGAGAATTTTTTAAAACCAAACCGGACCGACAAAAAATATATAAAAAAAAAATTGAAAATTCATCCAAATATGTAAAATTCAATAGTTTTGTCATTTGTGGGTATTTTTGTCAATTTCTAATTTTCGAATACATATATATTATTATTACCTAATAATCCTAGTTTATATCTAATAATCTCAAAACTAACATAATTTATCGAAAGCCCTTTTCCTCTTTAGAATTCAGATGAACTCCAGCCAACACCTGACACAGTCTTGAATCACCGACACCACACACACTTCTTCAGATTTTTTACCACTCTTTAAAGTTGAATTGTAGTCTATTACACCAAATTGGAGACAAAGAGATCCTAGGCCTTCAGTGATAATATTTACTACGAATAAAGTTTCAAATCAATAATTTTTTTTGAGCAAACTGAGGTAAGAATCTAAAATTAAATGCGTTTCGTAACACACAAATGTAAGCTTGTGTAATTATTATATTTAGATATTATAAACTAATGCTTTATTACTGTAGTTGGTTATTCTTTTTATCTAATCAGTAACCTTTTTTCATAAATGATGATCACGAGATCTTGTTGGATATCATTATGTTTTTTGGACCTTATATCTCGTTTAGTAAACTTGTATTGTACGTTATCATAACGTAATTAGCCTAAAAAAGGTGAACAAAAATGAAAAAACTATGTTTTAGTTTATTGTGATTTCACTTTGATTTATTAGATATTTAAATTTATAGTAAATGTATTTAGCTTCTGTTCGAGCCATATTTTCCATGTTATCATAATGAGAAAATTGACTGTTAAAGAAGAGGCTAGATCCCACGCATGAAACAACAGGTCAACAAATACGATTGGACTTGTGGGATAATGGTCCAAATTTTCATTTTTTTGTCCCAAAAAATTGGTTCAAACAAGGGCTTAGATTGTTTTAGATTTATTGCTATTAAGATGTAAATATATATTGAATTCAATGAATTAATGTCATAAAAGTAGGCAGACAAAAAAATATATGACGAAATCTGTGGTTTAAAATTGGATCAAACCATTAGATTTAGATTTGAGTTTTTTTTTTTTTTCAAACCGTTTAAAATGGTTTGATTTAGGTTTGGATTTTTCTCAAACTAGTTTAAACGGTTTGTTTTGAAAATTTGTCAAAAACCAGTAAAATCGGACCACTTACATCCCTAATTACCCGTATCCGCCCTGATTAACCGATTAAAGGGGTAATCCCCATCCCGAATCGGGTTTGATGGGTATTTTGCCATTCCTATTTGTGTCCAATTTAAAACTCATTTGAGATTTAACTATGTTTATTTTATCTTAGGGAGTATTTTCGTACACACCATGAGCATATCATAGTGGCCAAAAACCTAAAATAAATAATTTAATACGAACTAAGAGGTAAATTCAAGACAAAAAATATGATTTTGAGATGTATGAATACGAAGAAAACTTATATATAGGAGTATAAATGGGGCATATCATTCATCGTTCCACGTGGGATTTAAACCAGCATCTTTTGTGTCTTTTCAAATCTGTAATCTTGAGTTGAAGGACTCATTTATCGAGCAGTTCCGCTATTCAAAAGTACCTGTGCTTAACGTTCTTGTTTTTCCATTTGCTCTGCCGGCAACACATTTCAAAGTCAATAATGTAAAGATAATAATGTAAACTATTTCTACAAAGTCAATGTCATTCCAATGCAATTAGCTCCTGTCGGCGGCATCTTACAAATATTTTAACAATTTAACAATTTTTTATTAGACCCCCTGTCACATAAGTTGATATTAAAACCATGGATCATTTTCTTTAGGCCCGCATCTTTAGATAAATTATATTTTTCTAACTTATAAGTTAGAAAATTGCTTATTTGACAGTAAGATAGAACTCATCTCCAAATATGACCAGCACAAACAAATATTTACTTTAGAACTTACTTAT